ATATGGTAAGCACGGAATAAACATTACCCGTAATTGTTTTTATTTTAGTTTTCCCTTTAAAACCTGTATTTTCCACTAAATATTATTTTCTAGTGTTAAAATATATAATTTGAAATTACTTTGTGTGTTGTACAACATTCAGTATTCCATCATAACACTGGATTGGGTTTGATGCCCCTACATTGAATCAGACACTTAGCTGACCCAGTTCTCAAGTCACTTGGCCCTTTTCCCTGTACTCAGTGGCTCTTCTTCCTCATTTCTGCTCCTTGTGAGCAGGGATTGTTTTATCTCTCTCGTACCTCTCAACCCCGCGCTCTTCGGGAAGCTGAAAGGTTATTCATTAAAGATAGTGTTGTTTGAAGTCCTTGACATTCTTCTGCAAAAATGGCTTTTTGTTTTCGTAAACAAGGGTGACTTCTATTCCATTTTATTGTGGAGTTTAATACTGCCACTGGGATGTTTAACTTCCCATACCTGCTCCTAAGTCTGGACTTTTTGTTTTAATCTAGTATATGCAGTTGTTCACATCTGCGGTTCTGGATGCCGTTACCTGCAGTCTGAAAGTCCATATGCCTTTACTCCGTACACACAGAGGCTACTTAATTTTGTAACACTTCCCTTTCCTTATTTGGAAAGTAGGAATAATAAAATGGTTTATAAGGCTCATTGGCACATTTAAATTTTGCTTAATAGAATAAACAGAGGAGTAAAGTGTTAATGCAGTTGTGTTTATCACCGGTGTTATTAAACTCTAGTTTCAGAATCTGAAGCCAAACCAAGTGCCCTTTGCAGGCCCACGTCTAAATAGAGTGCCTAAGAAATGGGGTGCGGGGGAGACAGCAGAGAAATAAGATTCACTTTCAGTGTCAGTTCTGGACGCGGAAAACTTTTCTGCAGACATTGTGTGTGGGATATACATTGTAGCTTTTTAAAATGTTACCATCTTTACTGTGAAATAATGCAGCTTTTTTTAGTTTCAGTGTCGCCTCTTAAATAGGTAATAGGTAGTGATGACACTTATGAATTAGCTAGCTCACTGTTCTGGGTTACTAAGTTGGAGATTGGTTTTCCAGTCTGTCAAATGTCCTTCATGTGATAAAAATTCTGCATAAGTACTAACGGACCTCTGTGGTATTCCTTTTCGTATTTTCCTTTCATACTTGGCCATTTGATTAGGAAGAACTACTACATCCTGAAGTTAATTTTTGTAATCCATTTCTCTTGGTGTTCTGAGTTTTACACTAAGTGAGTGGTTGGTTTATTTCTTTTTATTTTCTCTGTTAAAGTTTATTTATTTTGAGAGAGGAGAGAGAGCGGGGGAGGGGCAGAGAGAGGGAGAGAATCCCAAGCAAGCTGAGTGCTGTCACCACAGAGCCAGGTGTGGGGCTCGATCTCATGAACTGTGAGATCATGACCTGAGCTGCAATTCAAGAGATGCTTAACCAACTGTGCCACCCAGGTGCTCCTGAATCTTTTTTTTTTCCTCTCCCCCCCCCCGTCTTAATCTCTTTTCTGTGATTTTCAATTAGCAGAATTAGAGGGAAATCAGTTTCCAGAATGACTACAGTTGAAATTTCCTTGAAAGAATATCCTTCTTTTAAAATTTTAAGAGTGCATTTTTAAGTATAGATTAATATGCCGTTCTGGATTTCCTGAAAGAGTTCTATTTGCCTGAAGAGCTAAGTACTTTTCACATAAAATTCAAATGCTGTTTAACCTGAACAATGAGTAAGTTTGTTGGCCACTTAGCTGGGAACAAAGTCATCGTGAGTTTTATAGTCGTGAACATACCCATTAGTGTTTTTATGCTTTTCCTGTTGAGGTCAGAGTCCTATATGCCATCTATTTTATTTGAATATTTTAGGATTTAATATCAGAGGTTTTATGTGATTATTTTCACAGAAATGAAGGTAGTATGTTAGAAGAGTAGGATGTTTCAGGACTTGGTAGGGTTATTAACAGGTTGGACTTAAAACTTATAGTTTCAGCTTTAAGATGGAATCTTTTGAGTTCATACTCATTGCAGGTTCTTAAAACACAAATTATAGCTATGATATAGTTTCTATATTGGTGTAACTCACACGTGTGTGTTTTAAAATTTAGTTAATAAAATGCAGTAGGCATAAGAGTATAACAAGAAGGAAAAAAATCACTGTATGGTGAAAATATTTGGGCTCTTACCTGGAGCCAGAGGAGTTCAGTTTGGTTGAAGGTGAGGTAGTGGTGATCTCCGGAAGGGATATCTCAGTGTCAGATTCAGAGGACTAGATCCTCAACAGATGGCTTGAACTTTTTTGGATTGGTAAAGGGTTGAAGTTGGTCGCCCTGGATGGTCCCTTCCAGCTTTGGATTTATTGGTAATCTGGCAGAGGGGGAGGTCCTGTATATATTTTATGTTAATCATAGATTTACTTTTTGGGGTTTCGTACTCCAGAGTTGAACAGAGCCTGGCAGCTTTCCTTAAAAAACAGTTAGCACTTGGGTAAATAACTGTCTTCTTATTTGCCACCACCCTTTCTGTCTTTAGCAAGAGTTATCTGTGAACAGGCCATGGGCTGGTAATGGTAACGGTCACCGGTACTGGTGGACAAACTCGGAAGAAGTCGGGAGTGTTGTTAACATGCCTTCGGTAACTGTGGGTCCGAATGACCAGTGTCGCTTCCATCCCTTTGAATGACTTAACATCCCGTGACCTACAGTGTGCATTTCAGAGCGGGAGGTAGGCTAGTGAGACCTACCAGTCTTGGTCACTAACAGTCTTCTTTGCTTTTCAAAGTGAAGGCAGCAGTAGCTTGCTCTTCTCTTGTTTCCATGCTGTTGAGGGTCCAAGTGAAATGGCACTGTGATGTTTGAATTAGTAAAGCTTCTTGGGCGAATCTTGAGATAGAATGGCTTTTGCTTAATTCCTGAATAGGGTGTGGTTGTTCGCGGGTGCGGTACTGCCCGGAGAGGTCTTTTAAAATGTTTCCGGTCCTTGTCCCCACAGTATCAGAATCTCTGAGGGCAGAAGCTGGGCGTTCATATTTTGACAAAACTTCTCAGGTTATTGTGTAATTAATCCTTACTTAAAAGCACTATTGATTGTGTTTATAGCAAAATTCACTTTGAAACTCTATCTCTAGAAATGTGAGACTCACCTTGATAGTGGTTTTTATGAAGTTTCCCCCAATGCATTATTTGGCCACAAGGGTCCTATTTATTTGCGATAAGCATCTATAGTAATAAGAGTAATAGTTAATATGTACTGAGCCTTCGGAATAGCGTAGGCACCGTGGTAAGTGGTTTGCGTGGATTTGTCACTTAGTCCTCCCAAGTGCTCTATGAGGTAAGTTCTTTATCCCCGTTTGGTAGACTGAAGCAGAGAAGTGTATGTCCAAGGCCACACAACTTGTTGCTCGTAGAGTCAGGACTCAAACTCAGCCAGAGGCAGTTTGACTCGAGAGCCGAGAGCCGTGCATTTCTAACTACTCTGCTAGAGTGACCTACCTCATGGCTTATTGTGGTTTATTGTTATTATGGTTTATTATGGTAGATAACAACAGTGACTCTTTTCATCTCAGACCTCAGACCCCAGGTCCTCTTTCTGAAGGGCAAGCAGTATTAAGTTTGCAATGTGTAGACAATAGATAAGGATACATATGCAGTCTTTTAAACCCGCATACACACAGCCAGGAGTTTTATAGTGTTTACCCTCTAACATATCTTGGGGGAGATCTTTCCACATTGATACATGTAAATTCAGTCTTTCTCTCAGTGTTTTGTACTGTTCCCTGTTTTTTCTTTCCAAAATTGACAGTTAGTACATGAGTAATTTGAACTTTCTGACCAGAGTTTATTTAGTATATTGATGATGATGTGGGCATATGTGACAGAAACCATCTTTTTCTGCTGCTGAATTGGGTCAATATGTAACTCCAAAGAGAACCCACTTCTTGTTCTAGAGCATGGAAGCTCTTAAAACAAAATCCAGTAATAGATTTAGTCGTGAGTAATTTGCATTGTCTTTGGCACTGTGTCCTGTGATGTCACATGTGTTCTTTTCCCTCCCCAGTAAACAGAATGAAAGAACTCTAGTTGGAGTTTGACTGGAGGCTTAAGAAAAATTGTGAAGATTTGATTTACACAAATTGTGGTTCTTTCTATGATGGTGATAAGGGCCTGTTTATCAGTTAACTTGATTTTCTTTGGGTATCAGCATTTTTTCTACATAATAAATTTCTAATAGAAAGTTCACATGGATTAAGAACTGTGTTTCGAGTTAAATTGTTATAGTTGTGAATTATGTTCTCAATATCGTATTGCTAACAACTCTGTGGGATAGGTGATCTACTGATTTCACAGAAGAGGTAAAAAGAAATCGAGAGATTAAGTGTCTTGTCCAAGGTCACAGCCAGCACAGCTAATGTTGAAATCCAGGATATCTGGGACCATTTCTTAGTTCACTGGACTTCAGCCCCTTTCTCCTCATTTCTCCATAGTGTTACAGTTTCCTTTGCATTTATGATGTCATTTGTTATTCACAGCAATACTGTGAAGTAGGCATGACATGTTGTTTATTCTGCGGCTGAGGAGTTGGAGGCTGGAGGCTCTGATTTGTACAAAGGCAGACAGACCCCTTTAATACCTGTTCTGTCACAGGACTTGAGCCAGAGTGTTCTGATGCTGGGTGTAGTGCCCTTTCCTACACACTATAAGAAATGGAGAAGCAAAGACAAATTTCTGCTTGTGCCCTGTTTTCTTTGAATCGAGAATTTCCTGGGTGTTCCATGAGAAATCTATGTTAATTTTATGTGCTGGGCTCTGGACCACATGCGTTGAATTTGGTATATTCTTGACATCTTATATGACATTAATCAGATTTCAGATAAGACAACGTAGCATCAGTTTGGCCGAATAAATTGCTGACCTGAAATTTCCCCTTCATCTTTGTTGCCCCTTATCTGGTTTCTGTGGTGTACCACATATAGCTGATAATTTTTTCTCATTTTTCTTTTCAGTGAATGGTAGTGTCTAGAAAGGGTATGTCCCTTCAAGAGAGAGGTGCCAATGTCCAACCGGCCTAATAACAATCCAGGGGGGTCACTGCGACGTTCACAGAGGAACACTGCCGGGGCCCAACCACAAGACGACTCGATAGGAGGAAGGTATGTATTGGATGGTAATTTGAAAAGTAAGTGCTGAAAAAAAAATACTTTTTAAAAACCTCATTTTGAGGACAGAAAATTAAATGGTTCACTGCAAATGGGTAATTTTTTCCTAATTTTTTGAGCCAAGTAACACAAACAAAACTGGAATTCAAAGCAGTTCTTTCATCATTTTCCAAATGCGCTAGGCTCAAAAAACAGTTGTCAGTCACTGACATTATCAGAAATCTGATTCAAGGGTCGTTAGCATATGGTATGTGCTTGCCCTTTCTCCTCACTCTCTTAAACATGCTACAGCGTGTCTTTCGATCGTTTGTGGTGCCTTTTCTTTATGCAGGTCTTTATTTACTTTATTGAAAGGAAGCTTCGTTTGTTTTAAGACCTTGAGTTCTGATAACTAGCTTTTGAGTCTTTTCCCCATCTTATTTTTTGCCAGCGTGTGGGTACCAACAGGCTGCTGAGGCAGTCTGACTTTGTGGGCCTCTCCATTCTCGTTTTCTCAGTGGTATGGTATTTCGCAGGTTTTTCAGTTAGAGTACTTGCCTAGGGGGGTAGTGTGAAGAATCAGATGCATTCTGTGGAATGGAAAATTCCTTGTCTGATTTAGCCAGGGACTGTCATTGTATGTATAAAATACTCAGAACCTCACTTGCAAAGCCTTCCTCTCCAATCCATGTTTAGCTTGCAGTAAGTCATGGCAAGGTTCTGATACGATTATCTGACACAACATTTGGAGACACTACCATGTGTATATTGTCTAGCAAATTATAAAAAACTTTTTTTTTTAATTTTTTTTTTTTAACGTTTATTTATTTTTGAGACAGAGACAGCGCGTAAACGGGGGAGGGTCAGAGAGAGGGACACACAGAATCAGAAACAGGTTCCAGGCTCCGAGCTGTCAGCACAGAGCCCGACACGGGGCTCGAACTCACGGACCGCGAGATCATGACCTGAGCTGAAGTCGGCCGCTTAACCGACTGAGCCACCCAGGCGCCCCTAAAAAACTTTTTTTTAATGTTTTATTTATTTATTTATTTTGAACAAGAGAGAGCGTGAGCAGCGGAGGGGTAGAGACAGAGGGAGACACAAAATCCGAAGTAGGTCCAGGTTCTGAGCTGTCAGCACAGAGCCTGACATGGGGCTCGAACCCACGCACCGTGAGATCATGACCTGAGCCGAGGTCGGACGCTTAACTGACTAAGCCACCCAGTGCCCCTATAAGGAAAGTTTTTAAATGTCACATGTAAGGAATATATTGAAACCGATCCTGCTGACATCAGGCTCTTTTAGTAGGTGAGCATATGGACTTTGGACGAGGACAGCATTGTGTGAAATTACTGCCTCTGCCATTAAATAGCTGCGTGTCCTTTGTTGTATCTTTTAGGACACCTCGGAGTTTTTAGTCCACGCAGTAGGGAGATCTGTTTCATAGGGCTGTTGGTTAACATCAGCAATCTGTAGTATGTTACATTGCTAGCACAACGCTTAGTGTGCAGAGTTCTGTTCTGAAATTGTTTTTTGCTTTATTTTACAATCAGATTATTCGTTGGAGTAGCGACACTTTATTTTCTGTTGATTAAAAAATATCCTTCCCCCATTGTAAAGCATGGCATGTTAATTTTAGTGAATTTAGAGAATAAGAAGAGTATAAAGGAAAAAACCATAATTCCACAATCCACTTCTGACTTACGCTGTTAACACTGGCATGTTTTTCCTTCGTCTTCTCTATTGCTATATATATGTGCTTATATGTGCTTGTGTTTACACGTAAATAACCTGTACCAATTTGGGGGTGCCTGGCTAGCTCAGTCGGGAGAGCACATGACTCTTGATCTTGGGGTCGTGAGTTCGAGCCCCATGTAGAGATTTTTTTAAAAAGCAGAAAAAAAATCAGTAACTTTTACCTTTTGAACAACTGCAGTTTTACATAGTAATACTCAGGTTCTATTTGGACTCTTGCACGTGAGTGACAGTTTGGTGTCTCACATAGCACACTGGTTCTAAAATCCACAGCGATGTTTTCAGCGCCTTTATCTTTTTCTACCCATTGGTGTTAACTATTTTATTGTATTAATGTATTTTAAAAATATGAGCAAGAAATAGAAATGGAAATGGTTAATATTAGTTATTAAGATGTATTGGTTTAAAGAACTAAGATAAAGTTGTAATCAAGATAGAACTCTTACTTATTTGTAGAAGGGCACATTTTTGCTATAGTTTATTTGCTTTAAGTCTGTCAGTGAGTAGTTCAGTTGGTGCAGCCACTGTGGAAAACAGTATGTAAGTTCTTCAGAAAATTAAAAATAGAATTACCATGCAGTCTAGTAATTCTCTTGCTGGGTATTTACCCCAAGAAAACAAAAACACTAATTCCAAACATGCATCCCTGTGTTCATTGTAATAGCCAAAATACGGAAGCAACCTAAGCACCCATCATTAGAATGATGGATTCAGAAGATGTGGTGTATATATGTACAATGGAATATAACTCAGCTATAAAAGAATGAGATCTTGACATTTGCAGCAACATGGATGGACCTAGAGGGAATCATGCTAAGTGAATTAAGTCAGTCAGAGAAAGACACTACCATGTGCTTTCACTTATATGTATAATCTAAAAAAAAACAACCAACAAACAAAAAACAGAAACAGACTCATACAGAGAACAAGTTGGTAGTTGCCAGAGAGGAGAGGAGTGGGTGGCAGGATGGGTGAAATAGGTGAAGGGGATTAAAGGTACAAACTTTCAGTATTAAAATAAGTCACAGATGTGAAAAGGACAGCATAGAGAAAATATAGTCAGTAATATTGTAATATATGGTGACAGATGGTGACCACACCTAACTATGGTGAGCACCGAGTCATGTGTAGACCTGTCAAATGACTGTTGCACACCTGAAATTAATATGATTTGTCAGCCATACTTTAGTAATAACGTTGAAAAAAAATTGTAACTCAGTTGTGAAGGATAAGTGTAGAATTTAAAAATGTGCTTGGAAAAAAAAATGTGTTTGGAATGGCAGAAAACATGCTGAAGAAAATAAAGCAGAGTATACTTAGGGTTTTTATACTTTAATCCCTTCTCTCTTTCCATAATGTAGCCCATTTCGGTTTTTACAATTTCAACTTTCACATATCTTCAAAAAACATTTCCCCAGAAAATCAGCACACAGAGGAGGGCCAGTTGGGCCCCCGCCCCCCCCCCCCCGTTTTAGAAACCCAGAATCATTTGTGTCATTTTCTGTGTCCTTAAAATTGTTTTAAAAACATGACTTTTAAAGTCTTTATGTTCCATTGTGTGGCTATACCATAATTTAGTAATAACTCTGAATAGATAATATTTTTCCTCTTTTTATGTGGATAAGTGTAATTAATGACTATGACGTATAAATTTAGACTGTTAGCCAAAAAAGTCTGAACCAGTTTGACTAAGAATGCAAATTTGTTCATTTGAATTTTATTTTCCCCTCTCAGCTTGATTCTTTGCTCATGATAGAATCTTGAACCTGGAAAGGACCTTTTCATCGAAGCCCAGACTGACATTGGAAGCCCTCGTAGACTGTGCTATACTAGAAGTGAACTAACCTCTAAGAAACCTCTCTTTTGATTTGGGGGAGACAGAGAAGATTGGGATAAATTGAGAGGGAGCAGTTACAACTGTATTTTCATTCTCTTTAGCTGACTCCTGTTGATCAGCTTTCCTGAGTAAAATGCTGCTATTAGGCTTTTGACTCAAAAATAGACGTGGTCTTGAAAATGTATTCATAGTGGTGCAGCGTTTCAGCTGATGGGCACAAGAGCAGCCACTACAATAGTGCCCCGGTGGAGTGCTCCCAGATGTTTTTATACGCCTTCTTTTAGTAGAGACTCAGAGGAGCTCTGCTAATAAGTAGGTAACCCCTATTCTCTGAATGTGGTAGTTTGCTCAGCATTCTACAACTAGTATGTAGAGTGAGGACCTGATTTCCAACCACTTGACTCTAAGTCAGTGATTATTTTCGTCACGCCAAACTGTTTTTACTGCACAAACCGCTCAGTTCCTATGATGAAGGACTTGGAACAGGGTATGAAGTATGTATAATGGAAAAACCTCCACTCATTCAGTTGAGGACTTCAGTAGCAGTATTTCCCTCCTAGAATTTTTGAATGCATTCATTTTTTTATTCACTGTTTTCTTTCAGACTTGCATTAGGCTCTTCTTTGCATAGTGTCCTTCCTGTGACCGGTCCTGCCCATCCCCCAAATCAAGGTCATTTACGGTTTCCTTTCTTTTTAGGAGACTAGTTTTCGTTCATTCTTAAGCTAAAAGGAATTTGGATCTTTGGGATGTATTTCATATCTCCTGGTTATTTTCTCTGCTCTGTTTCCCCTGTCCTCCTCTGTCCATATATTAACTAGACTTCCTCCTCTATTATTTTCCGTTTCTTGTGTAGTTTTTTGGTTTATAGGTGATCTGTTCTTTTCTGTACTCTATCAGATTTTTTAATGGAGTGAGGAAATGGTTGAATCCAGTCCTCTCCACCTGCCCAGCCCCATTAAAAAAAATTTGTCTTCAAAGTTTTAGTTACTCATTACAGAGTAAAACCTCAATTATGAGATCTATAGGTTATACCTTTTTCTTAGCATTGTCAGAGCAGGGATTTTTTTTTTTTAGCCAGTGTTAATTATACAGAAAGGAAATAGATTTGTGTTTCGCTTAAAAATCTATTTCAGTGGGATGGATACAGAAAAGCACAAAAATAAGTATCCGGAGATAGGTCTGTGTTAACATTTTGGTTTTTATTTGCCTTTAAAATACAGCTTAGCATGTAGCTGATTACACTGTAAATATGGTTTTGGACCCTGCTTTGTTCAAAACTCAGCATCTTAACAAACATTTTCTCACATCATTACAATTTTTTTGGTAATTGTTACAAATGGCCACATGATTTACTCAACCACTATACAATGTTTTCCAGATTTACTTTTTAGTTTTTGGATAGTTAAATGGTTGTAATGGG